GCGTTTCGACAAATTTTTGTCATCATCAGGTCGAAACGTTGTACATTTGCTGTTATGTTAAACTTATATTAAAGTTTTTCTTCATTACCCATTCAAGCCGTCTCCAGCCATTACTTCATCCTTATAACGCTTCACCATCAAACTGTCCATAGAAAAACCTTTATAAAGTTTCCCCTCCCTTTCTTTTTTAACAAACAACAACATTTTTGTCCATCGATGTTTACCTGCTACAAATAAATGAATTAAAATTTCATTCCTATAACGCTTCACCATCAAACTGTCCATAGAAAAACTTTTATAAAGTCTCTCTCCCTTTCTTTTTTAACAAACAACAACATTTTTGTCCATTGATGTTTACCCGCTACAAATAAATGAATTAAAATTTCATCCCTATAACGCTTCACCATCAAACTGTCCATAGAAAAACTTTTATAAAGTCTCCCTCCCTTTCTTTTATAACAAACAACAACATTTTTGTCCATTGATGTTTACCTGCTACAAATAAATGAATTAAAATTTCATCCCTATAACGCTTCACCATCAAACTGTCCATTAAAAAAACCTGTATACTTTTTTTTTCTGTCTTCCTGGCTGTGTGAAATATAAGAAGTTTTTGAAATTTAGAAAGGCTAGTCTAATTAGCTAATAGTAAGCATAGAGTTTTAATATCTGTATATGTGTATAAAATTTAATAATTAATAGCAGAAATATTTATGATTAGAAAATAGGTATTTATAAGCTTACTGTTATGACATACAAATGCTGTCATTAATATTTTGTTACTCAAAGCACACACACACAAGGTATCTTTTTCTTTATATTACCACAAAACTTGCTGTGGACTTATGCATTTTTTTCTCTAAATTAATATTTTGTGTAAATATACATTTAAATACACAGTTTATAATCAGCCTACTCTTAGTACTTATTACAGCCCAGTAGTTAGTGTGCCAAACTATGGATTTACTTCCCGATACCACCGAAAATAAAAAAAACTCTCAATCCACAATTTGGAACCAAATCAAATCTCACTATTCAATTAAAGTAGCCCACGAATTGGCAGTGGGTGGTGTTGACTTGCCACCTTCCCTCTACTTTAACACCTCAAAATTAGAGACAGGTAGTGCAGATATCCCTCACATACTTTTGTGCAACATTCAAAAAAACATCGACAACTCTTACGCCATTCTCGTACTTGCATGTCCGTAATTAATTCGTTAATAAAAGGGAATTATTTAAAGTTAACTTCTTGTTGTGTTAGGATTGAAATTTATAGACTGTAAATAACTGTATGTAGTTCGTTTTTTTTTTTGTTGAAAACCGTGAATTCATTTTTATTGTGTATACTAAAGACATTATATTTTCACTTCCATGTTTGTCTGGTATTTCCTAAAATAAGGCCATGAGAATGTGGAAGACACAGAGTGACACTGAGTTTCTTAACTTTCCTCGTTTGTGTGCTTAGGTATAAATGACAGTGCCTGTTCTTAAAAAATATTAAGTTCTGTTTCTGTAAGTATCACTGTTGTTAGATTTTAAATATTGTAAGTATGTACGTAAGGAAGTGAAGATTTGATTTTTAATGGTAATTTAAGGCTACTTTTGACAGGTACAGATCCATTTTCTGTTGTCCAGTATCTTAAGATCGTTGATTTGAGTTAATGCCAAATAAATTCAGTTAATCAAATCAATTGGATATCTCTAAATCAGTGGTTCCCAAACTTTATGTCATGGCAAGTTGTTAAGGGTGTCACCAAACAAAGAATAATTAAGAAAAAAAAAAAACCTTGCAAAATAATTATTGCACTAATTATGTGAACAGTGTGATTTTCTCATAAAAGATATTAGAATAAGATGTAGATTGTAAGCAATGATAATAGCAAGTTTTTTTTACTTAAACTTAATTTTCAATCGTACCAAAAAAAAGAAATATAGTACCATAACTGGGAGGGTGAAATTAAAAGAAAATCACGTGTTTACATGAGCCTTTCGTTGAACACCTGTTTTTATTTAAAAGATAAAACAAGTTAAAATTAAACATCCGTACTTGAGTGACAGTATTCTGTTGTTCCTCGCGACCACCAGAAAGTGAGTGAACATTTCTTAATTTTTGAAATTTAGAAAAAGTTGCCTGGTACTATTTTCAGTGTGTAAATTGCCCGTGGAAAATGTTTAAAATATTGTTATTGATAATATCCTTACTCTGCATAGGTAAAGAAAGCTTTGTAAAGTATATATTCTTAATAAGTTATACATTTGTGTGAATATTTCTATAAGTATGTATTAATTTGCTAATTCTGATACTGAAGAATAAATAATTATGTGTGTGTATGTATATATATATTATCATGATTTAAAATGTCTTAATATTGCCTTTTTTATGCAAAGGGTAGTCTGATCTGTTCTCTTAAAATAATACATTCAAATGGTTTACATAGACAAGGAAGACATTATTATGATGTTATTAAATATCCACAACTATTCTCAAATTTAAGTCTCCTAGCCAGGAGAAATGGTTAAGTCACACCTTCATTCTTCGGCTTAACTCCTACAAATGCTAGATTCAACATAACTGTGCTAAGTTTTATTGCTACATTTACTTCACTGTGGTTGATTTCAACAAGAAATTTTTCTTTCTGATTAGCATACATGTTATACTCAGCCAATCTGAGCATTGTCTTAGCTAGTATAGTGTGTCGTGCTTTTGGTAGACACTTATCTGGCGGCAAGAGATACCCCTTTAAAAACTGTTAACATATAGAGTATTTGTGTACCTGACAGACTTACCAAAGCCATTATATTCCAAGATGGTTGACCTAATTTTGTTGTTCCTTTTCAAGGCTAAATTTGCCAACCTGTGCATTCCTTGGGCAGTTGTTACTCAGATCTGGTTGGCCTGTATATCCTGTGAGCAGGTGTTACTGGCTCTGTGAAGTCCTACATATTCCATGGATGAGGATTAGTTAACTTTTATAAGTCTCAAGTTTCCATGAGGTTGTTACTAATCCTTTGTGGACATGCATATCCCGTGAGTATGTGTTATTTAGCCTCTGTACACCCATCAAGTTTCCATGAGGTTGTTACTAATCCTTTGTGGACATGCATATCCCGTGAGTATGTGTTATTTAGCCTCTGTACACCCACACATTTCTTAAACCCAAATCAAAGCTATTTATATGAACCTGTATGCCCTTTATTTTGTCAATAGATACGTTTGGTGCATGAACAATAAAATTTTCATTCTGTGGTTGAGAGTATTGTATCGTATTTTTAAAACTTTTTATGGCAAGCTGTTTTTTGGCATCATCTTCAGGAGAGCATTTATTTGTTGCACCTAACAAAGACAGATCACCACCAGACTAGAAATGGTTGGTATTATTGTATTACTTCACATTGTGTTCATTAGCAGCCTTCAAAAGAAAATATGATATTACTTCACATTGTGTTCATTAGCAGCCTTCAAAAGAAAATATATTACACACAACCTAACTGAAATTGCACATTTTCTGAGTTTGTGTGTTTGTTTTTCTCGCGATATTGTGAATGCAGTAAGACATTAACGCGTTGCAGAAACACGTTTTCTTGGTTTCCACCATTCATTGATTCTTAGGCTTACCCACTGCCTGGTGGATGTACAGGAAATGATTTATAATGTGAAAGGTTGATCTAAGATATCTTGGTCAGCCAGTTATGTGTACAAGTTATGTTAGTATTAGAGCAAACTTTAATATTAGTTCAAAATATTGACGTTTTATAAAACGATTTATTTCTGAATAGTTACTGATAGATGCGACAGTAAAAGAAGCAAATATTTGGTAAATGCTAGCTTAAATAAAAGTGATATTTCGGAAACCAATAAATACATCACGATTTCAAATTTATCCACCTATTTTGGCTCGCACATACTCTTAAGCATTTTTTGGTATACTTTTTTGACCAAGCTCTATAAGTAATTCAGGCTCAAAGCATTTTGTTTACGCTACAGTATACAAATAAAATGTTATATGTTTTGTCAGTTATGGTTCA